GTTAATAAGATAACGAGGTCCATACTCCGAAATATCAAAATATACAAATGAAATAATACAATTTTGATTATTAGAAAATGAGATAATGGTAATGATGGAAAATTAAGAATCCATACCAATTGTTTTGAAAAGAATGCCAAAGGCGAAAATGACTTTGTGCCAAGTGGAAGAGCTGTGGTGAAAGAAAAAACGGTAGAGTATGGTGTAGTGGTTCCTAGGTGTGGAGGGGAGACATGAGGAAAAGATAGGAAACAATATTTATTTTACTTTTATTTCAATAAAATAAAACTGTAATTTTTTTGTTTGTAAGTAATGTTATTTTTGTTTGGAGTATATTAAAGATAAACAATCAAATGATTGATGTCTAACATTTATAACTAACCCGTTTTCATATACAGTTGGATTCTTTCTTTATTTTTTAAAAACTTAAATCTTTTAACACACTAAAACACTACTTCATTAGAATGTTGCACATACATTGTTTACATTTATATTGTTTCAAATAGGCCGGCCAAATATGTTAATTTGGATTGTTTTTGTTATTTAAATTTGAGCTTCTAAATGAATTTTAGATTATGAAAAAAATAATTTGTCTTACTAAACAAAAACATAACACATCCATAAATAAACAAAGGTATAATATGAAAGTTCAACGGCGTAGCGCGAGTTCATAACTAATAAATCTAAATATTATAGATCAATTTATTTATTATCATTTGGTATTGAATTGAAAACCTATAATCTCACAATTGTTTAAGAAAATTAATGGTTTTCGCTTTTCTGGTTTGAAAAAAAGAGTTGAAAACAGACATTTTGCTAGAACAAAAATGAAGTTCATCATAAACTTGGAAAAAGATTGTTCCGCTCTAAAGAGTACGAAGCAAAGAAAATTGCAAGGAGGTTCAAAATTTGAAGTTTTCTTCAAGCATTAAAGATAATTTTCTTATCTTATCTTATTAACTAGGATAAGAACGAATTTAAACCCAAAGAAAAAAAAAAAGTTATGCAAATGCAGAAGAAGAAGACAAGAAGTTGATATGCCTAATTTATAAAAAAGAAAAATATATTAATATGCCTTGGATCTGATTTTTTACTTATGAAGAAGTTTTGTTTGGATACAAACACTGATCTGTCTTTTTAAAAATCTTTTTCTTTGGAAGTTGAAGATTCTTAAATACGAATAAATCTCACGAAGCGCACTCCTAGTCCCATATAATGAATAACCCACCCCATATTCACGTGGTACCACGTTCACAGCCACATATCACGCATAGACTAACCTTATTAGTTGGGCATGCAAACAAAAATATATTTGTATATGTTTCCAATTATTGTTTACGTGAGTACCCACACATTTTGTGTGACAATATTAATATATATATAATAATATAAGAACATTATTTAAGTTGACAAAATAAATTTATTAAAGAAAACTACAGTATAATATTGATTAGAAATATTATTTATAAATAAAAAAATATATTGAAAAGATAGTTGGTTTAAATGGAAAACAATAAACAATTAATTAAAACTTATCAGATTATTGTACATCATTTTTCGAATAATAGAAAAAAATATTTAAAACTAGATTGAATTACCTCTAGAGAATTTTTAAGAAATGTCACTTTTCAAAAATATTATTTTTTCAAAATCTTTTAGAAAATGTCACTTTTTTAAAATTATTTAGTCAATATATCGTTTATATTTAAGTTAACTATTTTGTATTAGGATTTAGTTTTGAGGGTCTAGGGTTTATTAGGGATGAAAACATTTTTTAGGGTTTAGAATTTTAAGATTTAATTAGGATTTAAGTTGCATTTTTGAAAATAGACAATCCATAG